CATCTGATTAATACTAGTCACAGTTGGTTACTTTCTGAGCTCCTTGGCACCTGAATATGGATATGAAGTCATCAGATAGATTTCAATGGTAATGTTTTTCACATCTACTAATTATTAAGGAGCAAATTTTTATGCTTTGAAGAATTTATTTTTTCTTTTTTTAAAAAAATTTATTTATACACCCACTTTCCGGATAGCACCCTCCCATAGCCTCCCTCCCCCCACTAAGCCCTTATACTCTGATACTCCTGCTACTGTCTGCTGTGTTGTCCGCACGCCCAGACATTCCCCACTACTTGCCCTTCTGGTGAATCTAGTCAGCCTATCTAGAGGTCTTTGTTTTAGGAGGGTCAGCTGTTCCTCATCTAGCGGTAATCAGTGGTCTATATTCCTTTGGATAAGACTGGGGTCTGCTGCTCATTTTCCCAGTTCTGTGCTGGGTTACTATCTGGGAATCCCTTTGGCCACCAAGGCCAACAACTCAAAAGAAGGTATTGCTTGTCTTGCATTGTTGCTTGTTATGTAGCCTTTAGCTATACATATGGACTCTTATGAAGTTATGTTGGCCCATTTAATCTTTGGTTATACTTTCCTTTTGGGTGTTTAAGGCCACACAGTTGGTCCAGATAAACTGATTTATTTTTACTCTTAAGGTCGTTTGAGGATCTGTTCCTCAGGGGTTACATGGGCTTGTGGGAGCCCCTGGCTCCTTTCTTTTACCAGTTCCGCCTATGTGAAGATAGGTCAAAGGTCCTGCTGGACCATAGTTGGCTTCGCTTGGAAGCATGGAGGAAGTGATTCCTCTGTGTCGACCCTCTTCTTTATACATAATTTTTTTAAAAAAAATTTCTCATAACATCAAGACTGTTCTCTTTATGTAAGAAACACTTAGCATTATCTACTAGAAGCTACGGTATGTGTATCTTGAAAAGTAAGCGCTCAGGTTCTGAACACAGTAGTACACTAAAACCTGACACAAGGACAAGGCATCAAAGTCTTCAAAGCACAGCTCAATGGTTGTCATATCAGCTTTCAACTATCAATGTAAAAGTCTTCCCAGAAGCAGCAAGCATTCCAACTCCAGATATATGTTTGCACTGACATGAATACCAGAAGCTGTCATCCTCACATTTTTTTTTTTTCAGGTGAGGAAAAGTGACAGGAAGGAATGTAAAATGCCCTCAAAGCGAAGCCTAGCTCTGAAGTCTGATAAGTGATTTACACTACTTCCATTTATTCAACTGCCACTTACTAAGAAATGACAGGATGAGTACTCTGTAGGCCATCTTTCATTGTGGATAGGCCACATAGACTATCACTGCAGAATGTGATTAACAAAATGGTGATCTTAAACACTGGTATAAAGATTAAATGGAATCATATGGAAGTTTTCTGGCAAGTGTTTTTTAACTCAATGTATTCTGCTCTTCCAATTAACCTTGAGATGGAACTGGTAGGCATTTCACACTTAATATTATAATAGATACTAAGTATCAGACTGCTTCAAAAGACTAGGTTAATTTATCTTCTCATTATAAAGAAGGAAACTTTAAAAAGTATTAATATTTTAAGTAGATCCAACTATATTTCCTAAATTTAGAAGCACAATACCCTTAATATTTACTAAATATTGAAAAAGATTAAAATATGGTTAAATGGCCACAAAATGCATGTTTCATTAGCACATTTCAGTATTATATAATAAAATCTTATTTAATAATACTGCATATGGTTTGAATTTTTTTAAACTACTAAGGTAGAACTGGAGAAATGCTCAGTAGTTAAGAGTACATACTGCTCTTCCAGAAGGCCCATATTCAGACCCAGCAACCACCTCAGGCGGCTCACAACTACCTTTAACGCCAGATCCTTGGGGGATCTGATGCCTCTGCCTCCCATAGGCAACTGTACTCACATGCACATACCTATTCCCCACTGACCCCCACACATATACATGGTAAAATAGAGAAGACCCAGTGGTTAAGACATGGGTTCAATTCCCAGCACCCATAGGGTGTTAACAATTGTAACTCCAGTTCTGGGGGACCCAACATTCTCTTCTACCCACCGTGGGCATTGTATACACAGGTATACGTAGCAAACAATACACTCATACACTTAAAAGTTTTTTTTAAAAAAAGAAAAGAGCACTGGGTACTTTTGCAGAGGATCTGGGTTTGGGTCCCAGCATCCACACGGCAGCTAACAACTATTAGGAACTCCAGTTCTAGGAGATCTGATGTCCTCTTCTGGCCTCCACAGACACTCATGGGTGCACATAAATAAAAGTTAAATAAATAAAAAAATTAAACTAGGGGCTGGACAGACGGCTCAGTGGTTAAAAACATTGACTGTTCTTGCAGAAGACCTGGGTTTGAATCCCAGCACTGACATGGCAGCTAACAAGTGTCATAACTCCAGTTCTAGGGGATCCAACAGCCTCTTCTGTCTTCATGGGCATTGCATGATGTGGGTGCACTTCCCTACATGCAGGCATGACACTCATACACATAAAAATAAAAATAAATAAAATATGTAAAAAAAAACTAAAAAAAAAGAACAAAAGTATACAGACTCTAGTATTCATAAGTTTAAGAAACATCATGGAGAAACTATTTTAGCAATCTCGTTTAGTCTATTTTTTTATACAAAAAGTAGCACCTTTCTGGAGAACATATAAAACACAACCACAGCGATGATTCAAGCATAATTTATTCTAATACCACGTGTAAGGAAAGGCCTACTGCAATAAATTCCAAGAAACAGAAACTGGTATTTAAATTTTCATTTAAAATTTACTGCCAGAGAAAATGGAAAAGAATGAAAAAATAATTTAATCAAGGGAATCTCACTTTAAAGGTAAGGGAGTTAGAAGTCAGTCAGGAGCACAGTATCATCTCGAGTCAATGTGCCCCCCACTACTTCATTTTTAATGTGTTTAAAGTTCTCATTTCATACTTGTGAAAGTAAACAGGAAATAAGCGACTTATTACCTCATCACTTAAATTAAAATTAAAAATTTTAGGAGTTGGAGAGATGCCATGACCCCAGAGGCCAGAAGAGGGCAAAGGGTGCCAGATCCTCTGGAACTGGAGTTAAAGACAGCTGTTAGCCACTATGTGGGAGCTGGGAACTAAACCAGGGTCCTCTGCAAGAACAGCCAGTGCTCATAACTGCTGAGCCATCTCTCTAGCCCTGTTACATTTTAATATATTACTCAAACTTTAAAAATTTTAAATGCTAAATACAAAGAATTTGTTGAAAGAATATTTCTAGGGGCTGGAGATATTTATTTCTAGGGGCTCAGTGGTGAAGAACACTGGCAACTCTTGCAGAGGTACCAGGTTTGGTTCCCAACTCCTACATGGCAGCTAACAACCACCTGTTAACTCCAGTTCCAGGGGATCCAACACCCTCTTCTGACCTCCATATGCATTGCACATACATATATCAGGCAATACAGTCATACACATAAAAAAAATACATATATATATATTGAGACAGGGCTTCCCTAGAGCCTGGAACTCTCAATATAGACCAAGCTAGCCTTGAACTCACAAAGATCTGCCTGCCTCTGCCTCCCAAGTGCTGGAATTAAAGGTATATGCCACCAGGCCCAGTGGTATAAAAAAATTTTTTTTAATTCTTATTTCTAAATGCTTAAATTCTGTCTTAAGTCAAGCCTATTTGTAGAGATAGCTATAGAGATAAAAGGCTAGCAAAAATCTGCTCATATAAATTGAAATGGTGAAATAGAAATCTCAAAACAGAAAAACCAAAACAAACATTGTAAAAAACCTTACCTGGATATCTTGCAAGCAAATTTCATGAGCATCCAACGAACACTGCAATCTTGGTTCTAGTAGTTTCTTTAAATTGCCTATTGGTTCATTGATGTCTATGGCCTGGCTTACACATTCAGCCGGTGTGTAGGTTTGTTCCACAATGCTAAATGTTAAACAATATAAAGTTAATTATAGTTGCCCTGATGTGAAAATAACAATATGCTCAAAACAAAACTATGAATACGTATAACTGTTGCACATACAATATTCAAGGGAAAATGTTTGCCTTTATATTACATTTCAAGCTATTCTGAAGAATTTTAGGCACAGAAAGGTGACTACATTGTATCCTCAAAATTTGTACATCATGCCAGAATGGTGGCACAAGCCTGTAATAACAGCACCTCAGAAATGGAGGCAGGAGGAGGAGTTTGAGGTCATCCTCTGTTACACAGAGTTAAGAGATCTGCCTGGGCTATAAAACCTAAACTAAATTTTGTGTATCATTTCTACTAATCAATTTCCAAACCCAATATAATCTAATAAATACAAATTGACAAGCTATGACAATATAAATACTTTCTACCAAATTTAATCTAGACACTGACTATAACCCTTACTCCGTATTACTGTTTAAAATTGTATTTCCCTCTAAAACTTTCTCAGAGCCCCTTTGTACTGCTATTTCACAATTCTAAAAAGTTTAAAGCTTTGATGAGCAATTCTACATACCTCTTGTAAATGCTTAAATGAGGCCAAAGACAAAGAAAGTAATATTTGCTGAACTCATGAATACAAAATTAAGTCTTCACTACATAATTTAAATCTCATTTGTAATTATCAAAAACATGCATTAAAATATGTGTGAAGGGCTAGGGAAATAGCTCAGTGGGACAGTACTTGCAGTGCAAATATGAGGCTGAGTTCAGATCCCCAGAATAGACAGAAGGCCAGGAACCTACGTAAAGCCAGGTGTGGCAGTGTGCATCGGTAATCCCACAGCTTCCATAGTGAGATGAGAGATGCAGATGGAAGAAAGGCCAGAAGATGGGCCAGCCAGCCAGGCAAGGGCAGCAGCCAACACAAGAGACCTTGTTTAAACAAGGTGGCTGATGAGGACTAATATCCAAAGTTGTTCTGATCCCCACATGCACATTATGGCATTCACATCTCCACACCAAACATATCAGGACACAGACACACATGGGGAGGGAGACACATACTCTCTCTCTCTCTCTCTCTCTCTCTCTCTCTCTCTCTCTCTAAAAGAATATGTCAAATTCCATTTTTACCTAAATCCCAAGAATAGTAACATATATTCATGAAATTTAATGAGTGCAAGTATCACAAATGTTTTTCCTAAAACACTTATAATTTATAAAACAGATCATTCATAATTAAAAACGTGAAAATTATTTAAAAATAATAGCACACCATTTTTCTTTGCCAAGGTTAAAAAAAAATTTTTTTTTTTTTTACTAAAATAACACTTTTACCATGTTCCTGGCTATAAGTACAGTAACCTGCCTTTTTTTTTTTTTTTTTGTAACATTGATTTTAGAGAGATTCAAATGTTACTTTAAAACAGATTTTAAACTCTTATATGAACACTGAGCATTATTGTTTCTTCAAAGTTTCCTGTTCTAAGATCGAAACTTTGGGAAATCAAAACTCTGAATACACAATTTCTTTGAAGGAATGTGGATGATCTCAGTATTGGATCTAAATTCCTACAAATCAAATCAAAGCAATAACCTACTACCCCTGAAGAACACCTACTGCCTCCTTCATACAGGTCCACATAGTAATGACTCATCTACTCAGACACCGCCAAAGGGCCAGAGACAAATCCTTTAGGCCATGGACTAGTTGGAGTATTTTGTATATAAAAAGAAATACGTATGGTAGGCTCCAAAAAGACTTCCTGATGATTCGCCCCCTTATAGTCACATCTTTTTTCTTTTTTAAAAATTACTTTTATTTATGTATGTGTATTTGTCTGTGTGAGCATATGCCACAGGTGTACAGGTGACAGTGGAGGCCAGAGAAGAGCATCAGATCCCCTGGAACTGGCGTGGTCATGAGATGCCTGATATGGGTACTGGGAACTGAACTCAGGTCCTCTGCCAGGGCAGGAAAGAGTCTTAACCACTAAGCCATCTCTCTAGTCCACAAATTTTTCTTTCTTTCTTTCTTTCTTTCTTTCTTTCTTTCTTTCTTTCTTGCTTTCTTTCTTTTTTCCTTCCCCTTCCCCTTCCCCTTCCCCTTCCCCTTCCCCTTCCCTTCCTTCCTTCCTTCCTTCATCCCTCCAAAAAATAAAAATGGCCTCAAACTGGCCTTGTACCCAGAGAAATCCATATATCTCTGCCTCTTGACTGCTGGTATTAAAGGGGTTCACCACCATGTCTAGCTTCACAGTCCTTTTAGAGTCCCCTTGGACCCTGAACAAGGGTTGGGTTGTGTGACCAAAAAACTAAGGCAGAAGTGATCAACGCTTCTTAGATGTAATTACTTAAAAAGATACTCTTCCATCTTGACACCCTCTCAGATTATCTGAACAGCCCTAGAGAAAGGCTCATGAGACATTGAGGCTTCCTACCAAGTCTCAGGAGTGATCTTAGGACAGAGATTCTAGTCCGAGGTAAGTCTTGGATGACTGCAGAGCATAATGACAACTGACCTCCTCAGGCATTGCACAACATGAATGGACTTATATATATGGAGGCATAACACTCATATACAAGAAATAAAAATAAAAATAAATTTTTAAAAAACAAACAAAAACAAAGTACCCCAAGTCAAACTCACCCAGTCAAGTTGCTCCCAGGTTGCTGACTATGAAACAATGCAATAATTCTTTTTGTATTGACAAAAGTGTTCATTTAACCAAGCTGCTAAGTTTGGGGGTAATTTACTGCACACACACTATAAATGAAAACTAAAAGAAACATCCATTCTATTCTTTCTTCTGTTGGAGAACAAAGAACAAGCTGAAAAACTCTGTTACAGCTCCTTAAAAGTTAGACATTTCAGCTGTATTCTCAACTCAGTGTCCTCTTAATCCTAGTGACTGTGGCTTGTCTGTTACTCTACAGTTCTTCACAGTTGTTCAGACCCTTTCAGTTGCAGTATATTATCCCACATCCCCCCACTTTAGAGTAAGAGCCACCATTAGCAAGCTTCCACACCCTTCCTACTGACTTTTCCAGATCTCTATTCCTAGCAGGACTCTCTTCTTGATTCTGACTTCATCACCACTATTCTCAACTAAGACTCAGTTATTCTTCCAACAATCAGCACCTTTTACTATAGTTTATGTTTAGTACTGTCACATAAGAATTCACATACCTTAGCTGGGTGTGGCAACACATGCCTTTGATCCCAGCACTCAGGAAGCAGAGGCAGGCAGATCTCAGTGAGTTCAAGGCCAGCCTGGTCTACATAGTGAGTTCTAGGCCAGCAGGGCTACAGGGATACCCTATCTCCAAAAAAAAAAAAAAAAAAAAAATTCACCTACCTGTATGTCTCCTCAAATATAATGTGGCTTTTATAAAATATTTGAAAAGTGTCTTATTTTACTCAAGAGATTTCTGAGAGCAGTATACAGTAGTTTCATAAATAAGTATTTGTTAAAGTAGTTCGGGTTGAATTAAACTCTTTTCTTTTTAATTTTATGTATATGGATGTATTGCCTGCATGCATGTGAGTGCATCTGTGTCACGTAATACCCATGAAGGACAGACAAGGGTGTCAGATCTCCTAGAACTGTAGTTACAGATGGTTATTAGCCGCGATGTAGGTGCTGGGATTTGAACCTGGGTCTTCTGCAAGAACAACCAGCGCTCTTAACTGCTGAGCCATCTTTCCAGCCCTGAATTAAATTCTTTTTGAAATAAAAGTGACCAGTACTGATGAAAAGACTAAAGAATGAATAGTACCTAAATTAGACTATCCCAAGTGCTTTATCAATATCAACGATGCTTATTCCTGCCTGCAATTTAAAAATGCCTTTCTCTCTGAGCTACAAACCAAATAAAGGAAAAAACTGTAATACATTAATTCTCTAAAATGTTGAGGTCAGATTAAAAACAAGCAAGAAAATGATAGCTTGGTTCCTAATTTGGTATTTTGGTAATATTAAAAAATGATAAACTGAGAAATGCCAACCTTTCTTCTGTGCATTCTGGTTTCTCAGTTCCATCAATCTCAATTTCTATGAGCTCTTCTGCTTCTCTCTTAGTCATGGTTGAAGTATTTCAAAAGCTCAGTCCTGCAAGAGTTAAATTTAAGAGACTTTATTATCTGCATGAACAAAAATGATGCAAAAAATAGATCAAATCTGAACAAAAGCAGAGGCTGTAGAAGAGCTAGAGTACTCTTTACAAGTAAAAGAAAGCTCACAGATGACACTCATAAACCAGCTTTGATTGAATATTAGTCTGACACTGTGATTTAATTATTCTATTGGATTTGGGGTAATTTTTTGGCCTAATCTGTCAGCAAGTTAATTCAAGTTATACTAACTATTCAGGTAACTCAAGTTAAACCTGAAGCTTTCATGGAGATATATTCTAACTGTTTAGCTAAAAGCTGTACCTCACTGGTAATGTTCACAGCAAGGGATTATACTGATACAGTGATATGAATTGATTAATTACAGCTATTCATATTATAACCAAAGTATAATATTCCAAAATGGCAAAATAATGTAGTCATGCATATTATTGCCCTGATACAAGAATTTTTTTTAATGACTTACCTTTCCGTGTCATTTTGTCTTACTTTATTAGCCCTTATCAGCCTCACTGCATTGCTTTTTGAGAGTGGCGAATCCTAAGCACCAGAGGAGCACCAGGAAGGCTGCATTGCTTAGGACTTGCTATGTTCCCCATGTTGGCCAGAACCCCTTAACGTGATCCTCCTTCCTCAACCTACTTAAGGCTGGGATTATGTGTGTGTATTATCATACCTGGCTCAGATATGGTTTCATTTATTACCAACTGATTTAAAAAAATCATTGATATAAGAACACTATAATTTCAAAAATGGTACACATACACATATTTCTTTGCAGTTATTTTCAAGGTGTTAATGCTGAAAGTCCGAGATTTTGACACTACCTTACTGTAGGCCTCCAGGTTTGTGTTTCAACTCGAAGCAGTCCACAGCAGCTTCAGAAAGCTTACTCTCATGTCTAAAAAGAAAGTCCTAGAAGGCGTCTCAAAATCTGGTATGTTAACATTTGCAGATGAATCTGTACTTCCTCTAAAACATTTACTTTTTGTATGTGCATCAGAGTGAGCACAGGACTGTTGCCAGAGGTCAGAGAACAATTCGTGAAGGTCAGTTCTCTTTGGCCACCTTCTGGAATCTGGGGATTGAATTCAGGTCTTCAGGTCTGCAAGCGTCTCTACCTGTTGAGCCTTCTCACTTGCCCATACATACGAAATGTTTGCTAAGCAAATTTAAATATTCATAGCCATTAGTTATCATGTGCTAGGCATTATATTCAAAAGCTTTACATACAACAATCTTATTTTGAACCTACCCTAAGACAAATGTTATCCAGAGCCATACTGTTGCTTTAGATATATTAATCTAAATTGTTCCAAGTGCGGCCAAAATATGGTCTGTTCATAGACATGCTTTGTACTGTATTTACTAGTACAGAAGTCAGCATGCATTACTGATAATACTGCTTCAGCATTCTAAAAGGGCTGTTTATCTTCCCCATGGAGTCAATTCAATAGCCAAGGTGTGATCCTTTCAATACTAAAGATGCAGAACTTTCTTCTTTTTTTGGTCTTTTTGAGCTGGCCTGGAACTCGCTATATAGACCAGGCTGGCCTCAAACTCACAGAGATCCACCTGCCTCTGCCTCCCAAGTGCTAGGATTAAAGGCATGCACCACCATGCCTGACTAAAATGCAGCGCTTTCTTGATGGACAAGAGTCATGAAAAAAATACAAAGAATTCGCCATGGCCAGCATGGTTGATCCCTGTTATCACTTGAATTCCTCCTCTTTATTAACCTCCTGGCATCTTCCTGCCCTATGGTCTCTGATCTCACTGCTGTCTGCCTACAACTTTCTTGTCCCAATGACCTCTTGGTTGAATCTCATCTTCTCACTGAGGTAAATGCTGACCATTCCCATTTAATTCCATTATCTGCCTCTTCTTTATCCCTTTCGGTTCTTTTCCATGGTACTTAACCTTTAACATACCACACTGTAACTTATTATATATTTACTATCTTTCTCCTCTTGTTGAATCATCATTAAAGTGCAAAGATCAAAACTGTCAAGAAGCGACCATAGTGGATCACAAATTGATTTGTCTAGACTATGAAGCTCCCCTACTTTCTTTCTTTTTTAAATATTTTATTTATTATTTTTATGTGTATGTGTGAATTGCCTGCATGTAGGTAAGTGTACCCGTGTCGTGCAATGCCCGTGGAGGACAGAAGAGACTGTCAGATCCCCTGGGACTGGAGTTACGGACAGTTGTTAGCTGCCATGTGGGTGCTGGGATTTGAACCTAGGTCTTCTGCAAGAACAACCAGTGTTCTTAACTGCTGAGACATCTCTCCAGCCCTCCCCTACTTTCTTTTAAGTGGAGATGACTATTGCCAGGTCTCAATTTCTCAAGACCATGGCCTCTGCGGCAGGAATAATAACCCAGAACTGGAAACTTACTGAGCTACAGTAAGTTATAGTAAGTTACAGTAAGTTATAGTGGCAGAGGGAATTAAAGTTACTAATCATCCCAACCTTAAAATACAGAAATTACCCACGGTTACCTATGTCTTTAAAAGTAAAAGAGCTAGATGTGCATGATACATATTTGAGTGACTTCAAGAAGGACAACTGGTCAGCTGTGACTAATTGGCTTTGAGGATAGAGGAGAGGTGCCATAAGGCAAGGGATGCACATAGCTTCGAAAAGTCAGAAAAGTAAACAGGTTCTCCCTCGGAGGCTCTAGAATAAACACACCCAATTTAAGATGAGATTCACTGCAGAACTCTACCTTCCAGAACTAAAGACAAACTGGTAGTGTTTTAAGTCACAGAACTTGCGGCAATTTGTTATGGCAACACTATAAAATTAATAGTCTCCCTTACTTTAGAAAGAGCTGAAATTTTCCTCAGGTCCCATCTCCAACTGTTATTTAGCTGGTTTTCTGACCACTCAATCCAGAAATAGCACCCTAATCTAGACGGCCTGGTAAAAAAGATGGCTTCTAATTTTTCTTTTTCTCTTACCATTACCAACCATGTTATTTGAGATAAGGTCTCATGTAGCCCTGGGTGGCCTCAAACTCAATATGCAGCTGTGGATGACCTTGAATTTCTAATCTCTTACCTCAACCTCCCAAGTGTTATGATTATAAGCATGCACTACAAAGTCCAGTTCTATGCAGTACTGATGATCCAACCATGATAACCTTCATGCATGCTAGGTCAGCATGTTACCAACTGAATTTTATCCCTTTTCCCACATTATTAAAGTTGTTTTCACATTTGCCTCACAAGGGGGACTAGTAAAGTAGTAAAGGGGTAGCATTCTCTATTCAAATAAATACCATGCACACCAAGTAGACTATCTTGGTTCCAACAGGCTCCTTGGGATGATCAAAGGACATAGAATCTCTCTGTCTTCCCTTTCTTCCCCCAAACTGTATTCTTTAACTGGTACTATGTGAAAAATATTGGAATTTATTCTATGTAAAACAGGCAGAGATCAAATAGAGATCTTGTAGGACAGCATGAACTTTACAAGGGGAGGAATATTTGTTCACAAATATATACAAAGTACCTTAGGCAGTGCCTCATCCTTACTGAGCACTACATGTGTTGGATAAGTAAATGTTACTAAGACAATTTTACATGATACAAAATGGGCTCCAAATGCCTTAAAGACTTACATGAGGGGCAAAACTTTAAGCTAATAAAAGAAAATGGAGCAAATTTGTGTGTGTGTGTGTGTGTGTGTGTGTTCTGAGGACTGACAGGAAGTTCTTAAGATTCCCCAAACATAAACCATAAAGAGAAAATCTGATGAATATAATTAAAGTTTAAAATTGTTTAATGTACAGAAACAGCATCTGATATTTCCAGCACCTGAAAATGACAAGGGACTAATAAACAGAACAAATAATAACCTCCAGTTAACTGATAATAATCAATATAGTTGGGACAGACTACAAAAGTTGGCAAAGCACAGGAAAAGGAATTTTAAACCAAAGGAAATTAAAATAGTTCAGGATATGAAGAAATGCCCAAATACAAATCATTCAAAAATGCAATTTAAAATAAGTAACTATCATTTTATATAGGCTGTGTATTTCCTAGAAAATGCAGTTGACACTATGACAATGTAGAGCACCCCTGTGATGCATGTAAAGAGCAAAATGAAACCTGACAGAAAGATTAACAACTGAAGACCACCCCCAAGAACATACAGGTCTTCCTTGTATTTTCCTCTTCAATCTTCCCATGGGTTTGAAGTTTAGAAACAAGCTGCCAGAAGACTCAAGCAAACTGTTGACTGGTAGCTGGCCTCTATCTGCTCTCCTGACTTGCTGCAAGCTAACATCTCAGGACTTTGGTACTTCAGGGACCGTGGATTCCCTCAAGATATGCTCCTGTATACGCAATACAGGTAAAATCGACTTAGATCCAGTAGGCACCAGGATGTGCAAAAATAAGCAGGAAAAAGTGCTAGAGCTGGCCGGTTTCTTGTGGAGTTAAAGACATCATGGTACCTAACTAGGAACGATGACAGCGAATCCATACAAATCCTTGACTCTTGCCACTCCTCAGAGCTACTGTAATTAGCTGGTATTTATTACCTATTAATTTCAAATGTTATTTATCATCCTGAAGTACTAGGCACTGTCCTCTCTACTGTCCTAATCAAGGTAGAATTCCTAAATTCCAATGTTGTGCACATAGCACAAACTAAAAACAACAAAAGTTAGCAAGCTACACTAACCCTCCTGGCTGACTTCTTAGTAAAACAAACAAAATGCCGTTCACATGGATGAAGATGACCATAGCACTGGTGCCAACAGTGAGACAGTTCTAGGTCAACTGGATTTGGAGGGAATGACTCGCTGCTGAGTCCGGGGTCAGACTGGCGTGGCATCTTCCGGGGAAATCTGGGGCCGTCGGGCCCGCGCAGAGAGCCGGGGACACCGGGCGGCGGTCTTGTCTGGCTTCTCGCGGCGTCCAGGGCACGCGGTCCCCGGGGCCCCGGCGCTCCCCGCCCCTCCCCTCCGCTCCCAGCACAGCCTCTCCCGCCCCTCCCCACCTGGCTCCCTCAAGTCTCCACGAACGGAAATGGGAGTCACAGCGCCGGGGACCAGCGGAAACAAAACACAGAGGCGGCCACGGGGGGGTCGCGGCGGGGGAAAGCCCCGGAACGAGGCCGGCCGCGCGGGCCCGCGCTCCCCGCGGCCGCACTCACCAGCTCCGGAATCGGCCCCGTGGCCCTCGCCCGTGCTCCAGAGCCGGCTGGGGACGGCGGCGGCGCGGACTCCACGTGCAGCACCTCTCCGGGTAAGCCGCACCGCTCCAGCGAATTGCAGCGTGAGGCCCTCGGGCCCTTCCCGCGGAATAGGCGCTGAGGAACCCCAGCCCCTCTCCCGCCTCCCAGGCAACCCTGGGCCGAGAACTACAACTCCCAACAGGGTGCGCGGCAGGAACGCCACCAACGGAGGCTCACGAGGAACAAACGCCCCAAGCCGTTTGGTTTTATGTGCTGTCTTCCCCTCACACAATATCCACTTCCCCAACCCCAGCGAACGGGACGCGGACTCCAAGGGAGCTCGAACTAGGCGAAAAGGCTAAAGCACGCATGCGTACAAAACAGGGTTTCCAAGAGGGTATAAGCGGGTCAAACTAGGGGAAGGAAAGATGGCGGTATCTTCGCTAGAAGACCCGGAAGCACTTACCCTCTACTTCCTTCTCCTGTTTGGCTTCTGTTTCACCTAGAGGTGTCCGGTCCCAGACTGTCTCTAAAGCGCTTCCTGTCCGGTGAGCGTCGAACGACTGAATCTGGGACCCATAATGCATTGCGATGGCGGGTAGGCGTGTGTAGGCGGAGCCAGGGCCGGAAGTAGAACGGTGGCGGCGGCGGTGACTCGGACAGCTGGGGACTCTGTGCAAGGTGACTGGGAGGGGAGCTGGGCTGCTTCGGCCTCTGGGGAGTGCGATTCTGGGTTTCTTCACCCGGCCAGGGCTGCCCAACACCTCTGCCCTAGTAGCAGGAGAGAGCAGCCCTGCGTCCTTGGCGCCTTCCCGGCTGTGCCTGGTTTCACTGGTGACCCCGGCCCTGCTACGCTCCAATGTTTGCCTTCGACCCAATAAGTAAGGGCAAATGCCCTTGCTGAGAGCAAAACGGGCGGGCGCGGAAGGCCTAGAGGCGGGCTGATGGGCCTCAGCCGGCCTGGGGTAAGCCAAGGTCAGGCGCACGTCGTGCACGTCTGCGGCCTAGCCTGCCACCCCGGGCACGCGGGCAAGAGTCTGGATTATGCACCCTGATGGAAGACGACTGTCGTTTATTCTAAAAGTTTGCATCCCACCCAAAAAAGCCAAAAGTGTGTTTGCCACCCAGAAATAGTGGCGTGAAATTTGGTTTTTGGGTTTGGGGTTTTTTTTTTGAGACCGAGTCTCACTGTAGCCCCAGCTGGCCTGGCCTGGAACTTGCTATGTAGACCAGGCTGACCTCCATCTCACGGAGATCCGCCAGCCTCTGCCTCCCGAGTGTTGGAATCTAGGGCGTGCTCCACCACGCCCGTACTAGAAATGGTGGTGTTAAAACTGCTTTGTGGCTTGTCTTAGGAATAGATGATACTCAACAGGCAGCAAACAACGCTTGACTGGGCTGCTTGGTCATTGCTATAAATAGAGCTATGCAATGCCTTTGGGGATCTTTTTTCCTGATGCCTTCCCCACTCTTTCTATGTCTGACCCCTCTGTAGCACTGGACAGCGCTGCATAGAGCCTTTGTCACAGATGTTTGACATCTGTGGTGACATTTATCTTGTGTGTGATCATGTACAACCGATTTTCATTGTTTAATCTGAGGAAGTGAAAGGGAACAGGAAGCAACGAGTTTTTTTTTATTATTTTTATTTTATGTGTGTGCACGTATGTAAGTGCACCTCGTGCCTGAATTGCTGGCATAGGCGAGAGGAGGGCGTCAGATCGCCTGGAATTGGAGTTAACAGACAGTCGTTAGCCGTCATGTGGGTGCTGGGAAGAATACCATCCTCTGCAAGAGCAGCCCTTAACTGCTGCTTCTCTAATCCCTGAGAGTTTTGATAAGAGATTTTAAGTGTTTGGGGTTCAGGTCACAGGGTAAATTAGAAATGTGAGTTGGGGATCAGATTGTGATGATACGTTATTAAAAAATAAAAATATATTTCATCCATGTTATAGAAGAAATGCTATCTCTGCTGTTACTCAGCTAAAGAACAAATTTACTGGAAAGACCTTTTTTTGGTCTTTCTGAGACAGGGCCTAGACCAGGCTAGCCTTGATCTTACAGAGATAACGCCTGTCACTGCTTCCCAAGTGCTAGAATTAAAGGTGTGCTCCACCATGCCCAGCTTGATAGAAACCTTTCTTAGACATAGTTTTATCACCTGTAAAGCAGGACTAAGAATATCTCCAAACATCTGTAACTCCAGTTCTGGAGGACCTGACAATGCCCTCTTCTGAATTCTGTGGGCATTGCACGGCATGGGTACACTTATACACATGCAGGCAATACACTCATACACATAAAATAAAATAATAAATAGAAGAACACCTCCTAGCTCTTTGAAGAGTATTGCCTTAATATGAAGTGCTTTGCAAAATATCTAGGACTGAACAAATGTTACGTTACTGATGTGTACTAAGCAGGTTCTTAAATTGCCAGAAAGGAAAACAGACATTGAGATGGACACTATTTTTTATAAGATCATTTTTGTTTCTCTGGTAGGATATGAGTGATATATTAATCAAGTCTTTACATTTCCTGAAATGATTTTGTCTTCATCCTGGTAAATGAAAGATAATCTTACTATGTGATTTTCTTTGGCAGTACTGTTATTCTAGGGTTTGTTGAAATTGGTAATATTGGCATTTTAGACTTGAAAACTCTTTGAGGTGAGGAGAAAGTGGGGGGGGGTGCTACATATGTGTGTGTGGTTTTTTTTTTGGTTTTTTTTTTTTTTTTTTTTTTTGGTGTAGGGTGTTTAGCAGCATTCCTGACCTCTACTCAGCATTCAGTCTATTCAGGACAACCAAACTATCTTCAAAAATGTGTCCAGGAGATAAAATCACCCTCTGTCCCACCTCATGTTTATTTGGTAATCATTACTATCTCAAATTCTTAGTGAAGGGTCACTCACACTTTTCCCATAGTGTTATATCTGTGTGTGTGCATGTGGGTGCACATGGGTATGTGGGCACTCATGCACGTGTGCCTGAGGAGGCCAGAGGGTCAGGTCAACATTCACTGTCGCCCTTCGGGTCAACAGTACATCCTGTCTCTTTTGAGAAAGTGTCAGGCTTTGTGTTAGAGTTCACCAAGTAGGCTGAGATGGCTGCCTAGTGATCCTCTGGGATCTGCCTCTCTGCATCTTCAGTACTGGATTACAAGTTTACCACCCATCCTGGATTTTTTTTTTTTCCTTCAAGCATAAGTTCTGGGGATCAAACAGGCCTTTGTGCTTGGACGGTATGCCTCCCCCTTTTGTGATTTGTTATTATTAAATTCAAGACACACATTAGTTTGTCAAATTCCTGTGAAGATTTCTAAATCCTTGTTCTAGTTTCTCTGTTAATATAGGCCAGTCATGGTGTGTCTACTACCAGTGGAAAGTCTGACGTCAGGATGGTGATGAAGATGACAATGGTGGTGATATAATCTGGGTGAGGGCATGAGAGCTAGAATATCACATTTTTGCTACTTGTTGTAGGAAAGTTACCAGGCTCCACCCTGAGGTATGTCCGCTTTGCCATTGCCATTTCACTGGGGTTTGCTGAGCCTTTTTTTTTTTTCCGTGAGACAAGGTCTCCCTGTAGCTGCGGCTGGCCTGGAATCCCTATGTAGAGCAGGCTGTTCTCTGTCTCACAGAGATCCACCAACCTCTGCCTCCTGAATACTGGAATTAAAGGTGTGTGCCACCATGCCAGACTTTTAAACTAAATCTTAATCTGAGGAAATTTTTTTCTAATATCTATGGCCTCCTTATCCCTTTTGGACTTCCTTTTTGCATATATTTGTTGTAATTTGAAATATCCTTGCATTACTCGGGTCTCAACAGGAATTTACTGTTATCTATCACAAATTTTACGTAGAAAATTGTTTCAGCCTCAAAAAATCTAAGGACTTGGAAAGCTAGATAGGTTTTGGGGGTTTTTGTTGTTGTGGTGGTTTGTTTTTTGTTTGATGTTTTTTTTAAAGACAGACTCTCCCATGGCTCCACCTGGCCTTGAACTTGCTATGTAGACCAGGCTGGCCTCTGTCTCACAGAGCTCTGCCTGCCTCTGCATCCCAAGCATTGGGATTAAAGGTGTGTGCTCCCATGCTTGGCCTTAAACCTGGATTTTTTGACTATGGGTCTTTCACCTTCCTCCTAATTCTCTTTACTGTTGAGGTCCACTGCCCAACCTCCTCTCTGTTATTGCAGGGCTCATTTGAGACCTGGTTGATGTTTCTCTTTTCTGTTTCTTTTGAATGTTGATTTGGCTGTTAAAGTGCTAAATATTTGAAATCCTATAGTTGTTAACGGACAAAGCTCTTTTCCTCCCTGTGGATCTGTGAAGTGGAAACTTCCAGCCTTTCCTTCCTAGCTAAGGCTTTAGTCTCTTTGCTTAGCTCCCTTTTGGCCTATTGTGGGGGGCGGCGGGGGGGTAGGGAAACCTGGCAAATAAATGTATGAGCAAGTTGTCTTTTCCTGCTGGGGACAGGCAGTATTCTACCTCTGCGGCTTTGTTTGGTCCAAGATTCTTGTACATGGGAGGAAAAGCACATCTCAGGTTTTATGTTTTCTTTCAACTTTTACTTTTATGATACTTCAAGTTATTCCTAAGTTCCAGAGCCTTTTGGTAAAAAGCAAAAGCCTTGTAATGGGGAATGAAAGGGTCAGGTACTTGGCCAGACATAGACTGGGTTCTACTGTAATTTAGTTCTGTAGCAGTTAGTAGAGTTAGGTTTCACCATATAGTATATTTGAGGGGTTTATGAAAAGTTCATTAACCTCTGATGCTTGTCTCAGTACCACAGAATCGCCATGATTCTTCAGAGGCTCTTCAGGCTCTCCTCCATCCTGCGGTCGGCAGTCTCGGTGCATTTTCGGAGGAACTTTGGTGTTACAGCAGTGGCCTTTAATAAGGATCTTGATCCTATACAGAAACTCTTCGTGGACAAGATAAGAGAGTACAAATCTAAGCGACAGTAAGTGGGTAGATAACTAAGCACAGTATAAATAATATTCAAAATATGTAAATTTCAAGATTTAAATCTCAAACTGTATCTTCTTTATGAAGGCTTCAAGGAAGAATTTCATTAACTATATCTGGGGGCTGAAGAAGAGATGGCTTAGCAGTTATGCACTCTTTTCTGGACCCGTGTTCAGTTTCCAGTACTTGTATGATGGCTAACATCCATCCTTAACTCCACTTAAGAGCTTCCAGCATCACTTTCTGGCTTCCACAGACACCAGACACTCACATGGTGCACTTACATATATGCAGGCAAAACATTTAACACATAAAAAATAAAATCTTTTTAAAAAGTGTATTATAGCTGGACTTGGTGGCACTCACCTTTAATCCCATCATTTGGGAGGCGGAGGCAGGAGGATCTCTCTGTGATCAAGGCCTCTGGCCTGCTCTCCATAGTGAGTTCTGGGCCAATAGGGGCTACAGGGAGACCGTGTCTCAAAAAGACCAAAAAAAAAAAAAAAAAAAAGATCTGTACTGTAATTTCATCACTGTGAAGTAAGTCAAATCACCAAAGTACACAGAATCTTGAAATAATTTATCAGCTACTTAAGAAAAGTCCCTTAGACACAGATGAGCCAAGGATCATAAAACTAAGAGTTCTTGGGAGAAAACATACAATCAAAGTACTCCAAGTCTCATTTACTGCCTTTTTTAATGATGATTTGGAGGAAATAGGTAAATGCAGTATTTTTCTCCTTAAGGCTATTTTCATAGTTGAGTATCTCAGGAAATATCAAGGATGCTGGAATAGCCTGAAGTAAACATGGAAAAACATGATTTTGGAACCACACATTGGAGATGGGTGGCCACTCTATCTGCCTTCGATTCAACACTCTTCCCCCCAAATCTTAGGAGATTTCAGTTTATAGTTCTTGAATTGTATGAAACTGTTAACAGTTGTGGGCCACATTGGTTATAAGATGCTGATTCTTAAAATCTAATAGAGGTAGAAAGCTTATAAACCATTGACTATAAAGTAAATGGCTGAGTGCTGGGTGATGTTCAGTGTTTGGAGAGTTTAGAGGAAGAAGTATTCCTGCCTAGCTGGGAACCTTTTGAGAGGCTTTTTGGAAAAGTTAGTGTTACAAATTGAAGGCAGCATTTGGGGTCATTCTGCCTCTTGAGTCTCTCACAAACAGCTGTAGGCTATCTTCCAGTGTAAAAAGAGAAAATATATTTACTCATGATACTTATACCTTGATCTCAGTTTGTTAGAAGACATACGCTCTGGCTTTATCTGTGGTTAAGAATATTTGTTTCGAGACTGGACAGGTAAATGTGAATAGGAGGGACATATTATTTAGAGTGAGAAAATGGTGTAAGCTAAGGCATGAATACTAGAAGGCACAGCATGTACTTGGAGAATGATACCCTTTGGAGCCTAGAGATACAGAGCATCAGAGGAATGTGATGACAGGATGGACTAGGATTGGAATGAGGTAAGCCTTGATTATAAGATTGGGCAGTCAAGATTTTGTATGATAGGAAAAGTGCTTGCTGCAAAATGTGAGGTCTGTCTCTGGCACCCACATAAAAAAGCCGAGCATGGGTGGCATGAGCTTGTGGTAATCCCAGTATTCAGGAGGCAAAGACAGCAGAATCCCCAAGACTCATTGGCTAGTCACCTTAACTAGATGGGCAAGCCCCAGGTCCCAGGGAAAGATCCTATCTCGGAAAATCATATGGGTATTGTAAAAATACATGCACCCCAATTCAGAGTACATACAGGTATAAGAACAAAAAGAATATGAAATAATATGGGCTGCAATGCAGTAATGGTAGGGGACCTCACTACCTCTCTTTAAGGAGTAGATAGATTATCCAGGCAGAAAATAAAATACACTGGATTTAAATAGCACTCTAAACCAATAGACCTCACAGATGATTTCAGACCATTCTATCTACTATCCAAAGACAGAACACCCGTTATTTTTTATTGGGGAGCTGGGGTGCAAAATCAGGTGGGTAGCACTCCTGGTGAATGACACTCAGGGTTTCCTTGACCTCCTCACACCCACATATGCAAACATAGAAACATACACAAATAAAAGTTGTTATGTGAAAAATGTTTGTAAAAAGTAGAAGGATTTTAAGCAAGATGCTGGAGATGCAACCAGATTATGGAAATTCAAAATACGGTCTTAATCACTGTAGTGGAAGAACTGGAATGAGAGGAGAGCAGGGTGATAGTGGAGAAAGGCAGTGATCCAAAGACTAGTTCATAAGACCTTCTGCTTTATAGCACTGGGTTATTAAAGACTAGTTAAGATTTTTAGACATTGAGAGAACTGGTCTCAGCAACCTAGTGGAGGGACAGAAGAAAGAGAACCATTAAACTGATAACCAAAAACTGAACCAGACTTTTGAGACTGGATAACTAACAGGTTATTACCATTGTCAAAATTAAGGATTTGGGGAGCAAAAAAATTAAAGTCTGCTTTATAGGTGGTGTCATAAGACTCAGCTCCAACCCTCTATATGCTATCTTTTATATACAAGAAAACCAAGGAGGAAAGGCTAAAATTGGCCAAATAAGCTGACTGTTCAATGTTCGGACTGTTTAGGAAGATTGTATTTTGTCCACAGGTGTTGTGGCATCTTAGTATTGAGGCTGTTTTGCTCTTTGCTCTTAAAGTCTGTTTAGTAAGATGTCAACTACCCTGACTCAGATGAGTCTTGTGTTGTGAGTCATTCATTTGTAGCAACACCAGCAGAGAGAAGTGTTACAGGCATGGGCCTTGGATTAGGATCTAGTTCTGCTCTCTGGCCTCATGCAGGTTACTTAACCTTTTTTCCACAGTTTTCTCATACGTAAAATGGTAATGGTCCAGAGTGGTTATCTCAGGATGTATAAAGATGAAATGATTCCATAAACGAACATGCCAGTAGCCATTATATTATTACTAAAGCTTTGTGGGTCCTACAGTTGGAAGACAGTCATTGGAACATCTGGCCCAAGGCTCAATGTAGAATTGGACTGTCCATGTTGATTCTTTTATCCACAGGTTTGATTACAAACATCCCATTGGTGATAATTATGAGTAAAGTTGCAATTCCTTAGTTATTTTAGCCACATTTCTGGTGTTATTTTCCAGATAGAGCTAATGGTTACCATATTGGATGGCCCAGATACATAGCATTTCAGTCATCACAGGACATTTGGACAGTGCTTGCTAAAAAGAAAAAATGAAGGGCTGGAGAGATGGGTCAGCAGTTAAGAGCACTGGCTGCTCTTGCAGAGTACCCAGGTTTGGTTCCCAGCATTCACATGGTGTTTAACAACCATCTGTAGCTCCAGTTCCTGGGGATTTGACACCTTCTGAACTCCATAGGCATTGTACAACATGGGTGCACTCATAAATGTTTAAAGAAAATTTAAAACATGATTCTATAACAAGCAACATCATTAATAAGCTGAAGCTTTTTGATTGTTGTGGGATTTTGTTTTTTTGTTTTCCTGAGGTAGCATCATGAAATACAGCCCAGGCTGGCTTGAGAAACTCCTGCCTCTTGAATGCTGGAATTACAGATATCATCACCATGCTCAGCTGGAAATTCTTTTTTTTTTTTTTTTAAATACTTTTTTTTTTAACTTTATTTATTTTTTATATGTATGCATGTATTGCCTGCATGTTGGTAAGTGCACCCATGTCATGTGATGTCCGCATTGGTCAGAAGAGGCTGTTGGATCCCCTGGGACTGGAGTTATGGACAGTTGTTAGCTGTCAGATGGGTGCTGGGATTCGAACCCTGATCTTCTGCAAGAACAACCAGTATTCTTAACTGCTGAGCCATCTCTCCAGCCCCTCAGCTGGAAATTCTTTAACATAAAGTTTCCCTGTGCCTTGTCATGGCCATGGACAAAAATAGTACCGCCACTGCAAGAATTTCCATTTGTAAACTTCTGTTTTTGTTTTTTTGTTTTTTTTTTTTGGAAATTGGGTTTGGCCCAAGCTGCCCTTATATTCGCAGTGTCACCACATCAGCTTCCTGCGTGCTGAGATTGCAGGGTGCAGTTTCGCTCAGTTGTGATATTGTTTGTTGATATGTAGGCAGAACATTTACCATGCTAAATTTATCTTCCTAAAGTACAACTTTAGTTTAGCATTTTATTATTTAACGAATAAAATACAAACTCCCAGGCATAACATTCCAGGCCCCTGATGGTCTGGGTTTTTGCTAGGTTTTTTTTTTTTTAATTTTGTTTATTTGTTTAGGGTTTTTTCTTGTTTTTCTTTTTTATCTTCCACACACAGCCAGTGCTTTACCCACTTCCACGTCTTTTCTTTTTTAATTTTCAAAGGTCTCAAATTAGTATCTGGCCCTAACTGAGCACATACTTGTCTCATGCCACCTTCTTAAAATGAAAAATATTGAGTATTTTGTTAAAGTCTTCCCCTCTGCCCTAAGTTGTGTCTTTAAAGCTTTTTTTTTTTTTTTTCAGATTTATTTTTATTTATGTGTAAGTATATGCTATGTGTGTTGGGGGTCGAGGTGGTGCTCATGGATTCCCTGGAGCTGGAGTTACAGGTGTTTGTGAGCTGTCCAATGAATTGAACTTAGGTCTTCTGCAAAAGCATCAAGGACTTTCAACGAATTGACCTGTATTTCCAGCCCCCTAAAGCTTACCTTCCAACTCCATTATAGCGTAATTATTTGTACTTTACTTCTCTGATAGACTCCTAGTATAAAAAATTGACAGTTGCCAAGAACTTTTACTGTTTTGTTTTTAATTTTTTGGTATTGGGAATAGAACCTAGGACCTCACAAATATTAGGCATGTACTTTACTACTGAGCTATACCCTCTCCCCTAAGATCTTTTAGAATCATTTTTTGATGGCTGATTAAAAGTAGGTGACTTCGATGGCACATCTTGAGTGTTCGCAGTGTGCGCTATTTGGTAGGGCCTTTATTTTCATTTGTGAAACTTCAAGTTTAAAGTGCTTGGTGTCTTGCTCTGGGTTACTCATTTACTAAATGATAGAGCTGATACTCAAATGGAAGCAGTCTTTGACTACAGAGCCCATCACTGTCTTACTGCAGTTTAGACCCCAAGGGAGTAATTTAAATAGCTTTGATGCTAACAGGCCTTGAGTGGTAGAGGTTTGTTTGGAGTTACCTCATCTCTGAAATCTAATACAGAATTACTTGTTTAACAATGTCTTCTTTTCCCCACGTGTGAACCTTTTAAAAATCTTGGGAAACTTGGTAGTAAAATGTAATTTCAGTTTTTTAACTAGTGCTTAAAATTACTTTTATTTGTTCAATTTTATACCTTAGGGCATCCGGAGGACCTGTTGATACCGGCCCTGAGTATCAGCAAGAGCTAGAGAGAGAGCTATTTAAGCTCAAACAAATGTATGGTAAAGGAGACATGAATACGTTCCCTACCTTCAAATTTGAAGGTAGGTCTAATCAGATTCATTCTTGTCAGGAATTATTGTGTATGGAGAGTATTAGTATTACTTTTTGGTGGTCATTCTGGGGTCAGGAAATGCTCTATTACTGAGCTACACTTAGCCCTTAATAGTTTCTTGGATTGTTTAGAGTATTAAGTGACAGTTACCCATGAACTCCTACAACTGTGATGTGTTCATGAGGAAGCATTAGGATAAGTATTGTACTTTGGCGCAGAGATCATGCAAGATTAACTAGTGGAACTCTACAGCAAATGGTTTAATCTTGAATCCTGACAATATCACTTAACTAGCTGTGTAATCTTAGACAGCTCATTGGTACCTGTTTCTGCATCTGAAGTTTGGGAAGAATTACAGTATCTTTCAACATGTTTTCTTTCAAAAACAACAAAAAAAAAATCCTAAGACTGAATTTTTTTTCTTTTTTGTTACATTTATTTTTTTCTTAATGAGTATACAAAATTGAGTGGGTAGGGAAAGGGTGGTGGACATGATAAATACAGTATATGAAATTCTTAAAGAATTAATATTTTACCTTAAAAAATGGTAAATTTTTAGATGTTCTCATGAATATTTTGTCATAGTATGGCTAAGTTTGAACCCTTTTCCCCCCCATTTTTAGATCCCAAATTTGAAGTCATTGAAAAACCCCAGTCCTGAAGGAGTAATAAAAAAATCATCTGGTAATTTGTCGTGAATAAATTGTATAGCTAATTAGAAAAATGTGAATAAACATTCATTTCACAATGACCAAATGCTCTTAAGTTCTGATTCCAAATAAATTCTTCAGTGATGTTGAGTGCATGCTTGAGTGTGCTGAATACTGTCTTAAGGTTGTTTTAAAATTCTTTCATTTGGTTTAGAAGGAAGCAGTTAGAGATGTTTGATAAATTGTATAAAACTTGCCCATTTCCTATTAGGCCCTTCCCTATGTGCAAAGTGGTCCTGTTTAAAGTGCAGACCCATCCCCTAAGGGATGCTACACCCTCTTAAAGGAATGTTTTCTGCATCCTTTGTTACTGCTTTCTCAGGAAATTCTGTAACTTTTGTTTTTTGATTTTTTTTTTTTTTTTTGAGATAGGGTCTCTCTGTAGCCCTAGCTGGAACTTGCTATATAAAACGGACTGCCCTCGATCTCACAGAGATCCACCTGCCTCTGCTTCCCGAGTGCTGGGATTGATGTGCACCACCACGACTGGCTTATTCTGTGTAACTTCTAATCTGTACAGGAATGTCTGTTTTATATCTTTCTGCTGTCAGCTCAGAACCATAGCTGTCCTCTTTCCTGAAGCTTGCTGTTTTTTGCTACAGATTGAGGAGGGAAGGGGGTTTGGACCACAGGGGAAGGAGAGTTCTGTATGATGTCAGAGCCAGCAGGTTATTTCCTGGGTATGTGGCAGATCAGGAACTTGACATCAGAGTTCAATAACCTAAGATGGCATGCAAGGAAGGAAATTAGTTGTTTAAAATAAAATTTTAGGGCTGAAGAGATGGCTTAGTGATTAGAGCCCTGGCTGCTCTTGTAGAGGACCTGGCTTCAATTTTCAGCATGCACATGGCAGCTAACAACCATCTGTAACTAGTTTTAGGGGAGTTGACGTCATCTCCTGACCTCTGTAGGCACTACACAACACAGTGCACCTACATAGATGCAGGCAATACACTCAGACACATAAAATAAAAATGATACTTTTTTTTTTAAATAAAAAAATGAAGATTTAAAGGAAAAATAGCCATGCCATTTAATTTCTGACAGTATCTCTGACATGTTTAGTACATAGGGTTTAATAAACTTCCAGCTACCATGAGAGGAAATTGGAGACTTAAGATTCCTCATGGCTTTGACACTGTCTCTGCCACATGGGACAGTTCATTCTCAGTCTGTTTTCTTTGCTCCCCCTTCATTCCTTCCCATTCCTAATGTGTCCATGCACAGAAGCGATATGAACTGGAAGGGTAAAAGGAGTGATGGACTGGTAATCTCAAGGAGTCACTGTCTTAATGAGCAACAAAGGGGTGTTCATGCCCCATGTGTTCATTTTTTTTAGAAAGAGGGATACTTCAGCCTCTAGACAACAGAAAAGTCTGATTAATTCTCTTGCTGTATATTCTAAAAGCTAGACAAGTAAGTTTCTAGACCTAGTTACTTCAGAGAAATTCAGTGGTAGTTGAATTTTTTTTTTTTTGAAAAGTAGATTTTAAAATGAATAAAAACAGGATTAGAAGGAAGAGTGAAAGATGTTTTTAGCCATGGGAGGAGAAAGAGGACTAGGCATTGGCCTTGACAATATTCAAGTAAACTGACAGATAGGGTGAGGACAGGGAGACAGGAGCAGATGGATGCCTTAGCACAGAAGAGATCAAATGTGACCAGAGAGAAGTCCCCAGAGGAAGAGGTGAGAGGTCAGCAGAAATCTGATACCAAGAAATGATGGACTCAGTGGGGGATTAAAGATGGGGAAAATTAAGGAGGGAGTGGTGGTGAGACTTGAATTTCAATAACATAGTTTATAGCTAACCAGCTTTTAAAAAAAAAAAATTTTTTTTATTCAGCCATGACGCAAAATGAAATTGTAGGAGAATAGATGGAACTGAAAAATAGCCTAGACTCAGGAAGACAAATATTGGATGTTCTCATATACGTATGGACCCTAATGCTAGATGTTTAGTGTGTATGTCAGCAAAACTAGGAAACTAGGAAAGACATGAAAAGAAGCTTTTAAGGGAGAGGTGTGGGGAAGACAATAGAACAGATTGGAAGGGGAAATACAGAGGGTCATAGAGGACAACAGAAAAATAAAGGCAATAAAATGCAAGTCTACTAGCATGAAGTATGCTCAGAAATGCCATATGGAAATCTACTTTGTAAGTTAGTTTAAAAAGATAAAATACAAAAGTAAAAGATTAGCGAAGAACTGTTGGGCATCTGATCACTGCTGGGTGAGGAAGAGCTGGTCTTTAAGGGAGTGACTCTAGATAGGCTGACTAGACCCCTGTGAATGAACTTGCACTGAGGTATGTCTGGGGACACTTGACTCAGTAGGCCTTAACAAATGACAGAATGCATGACATGGGTGGGGAGGGGTTGTATAAAGAGGACTATGATGTTGTGTATGAAATATACAAAAATTCAATAAAAACAAAAAAAAAAGATTAGTGATCTGGAAATGAGAGGAGAATGGATGAAGATGGAGTGTCCACTGTGAAGACTGCATGGGGGGACAAGCCAGAAATTACCGAGGATGAAGAGAAAGTGTGGGGAACTGGAGACTTGAAAATGAAGGAATCTTGAGGAAGAAGGAAGAAAAGGTTTGCAAAATGTGGATCAGGGACCTGTGTCTGCAAAGCCCAGACTCCTGTGACAGCTATGAACCCGACTAGTTCTTTTCTAAGGTCTGTGTCCTGGTCTGTAAAACTACATGATCCACCTTATAGCATCTTATTGAAAAATGAAAATTTACGCACCCTCAACCTCCGACATACACAAAGCATTCAGTGAGTAATCATTCCTCTTTATTTTTAGAACACTTTTTTTCAGTTTGAGAAGTTGGCAGGTATTCAAATTGAAAGATGATGAGATTCTAATCTTAAGCAGCAGCTAAAGAGCTCTCCTTATAGCTGCAGATGGTAAGAGGGTGTAGTTTCCTGGGTTTTACTGAACAATAGGTGGGTGACTCTTCCCCTGTACTGTTAATGAGACTGAAAAGTTTAAGTTTAGATATTTGTACGATGTGGACTTTACTCAAACAAAGCCAGCGGTAAGATGAAGTTTTCTACAAAGCTGTATTGAAAAATAATCTTAACAGATTTAGTTAGGTTAACCTCCCCCCAACTAAAAATAAATCAACTCTAGTTAAACTCACAACAATACTAAAACAAAGCTTGCTATTAAAGTTCCCGTTCTTATATATAGTTTCACTGTAGAAAAATAAAATGCTCTAAAAATGACAATCAGATTTTTATAAATTGTTAGTATTAAGCCCTACAAATTAAAGACAAAACCAATAGAAACACAAGCCTGAACACCAGTGACCCACAGACTTAATAGATAGAAAATTAGTGCTCATGGTATGTTCTTTGTGTAGAAGAAAGCATTCTTTACACAGTGACTTCTGCTTAACCGTATACAATATTTTAAGGTAACATATAAAATAGATATATTTGGCACAAAGATGGTGTTAGATGTGCACACTGCATAAAATGAATCTTAGCCTTCAGTGTCTTGAAGCTTTTCATCTATTAGTGAAGTTAAGGCACTGTGGAATTTTCCTCTCAAAACATGACTGTCCCGTGGTGTTGGAGCAGTTGATCCTGTGAGGTGTGTCTGAAGGAGCATCCTTGAGAGTTGTCTATCTGCTTGGTGGTGCAAAAGGAGGGCATTCCTCCTACCAAGTTAAATCCCACTCACAGGAAAGGCAGCATTTAGTCTGTTTCTTAGACACCATGGTGTTTCCTTGTCGTTTGCCGTCAGGAGTGAGGAGGCCGTCCCTTGGGCAAAATCCTGTCTTATGCTTGCTGTTTCTGTAAATAGTGTTTTCTTGGAACACAGGCATGCTTACTGTCTATATTGTGTGACAGTGGTAGAGTTGAGTGATTGCAACAGGAACTGTGTGGGTTAAAATGTCTTGTTCTGTAGAGTTTGCTAGCTCCTGGCTAATGTGATAATCTGATCTTGAGGGCAGAGAAGTATTAAGGAAGTCAGACCTCTGGGTAGAAGTCTACTGAGAAGGACTGAAGAATGTCAGAGGGGAGCAGTGTAGCAACGAGTATCTCCCCAGTGACCTGGCATCCAAGCCACAACTAGGTACCCAATGACTGCCTACTCCATTTGTTAGTGAATCCTGAATGTTTTACCTATTGGGTAGAAAGAGCAAGTTCTTTTGAAATCAACTTGACCATGTTCAAAGCTGATTCAGTAGTGAGTGACCTTTTCATGAAGATTTATCCAGATAGTAGACATCCCTAGCCACACTTTGTCTTTAATATGGATTAGATAATTAAAGCAGCCCCAAATGATAATGCTTTTACTGTTCAGTCACTGGAATTTTCATGTTATCACACTACCTGGAGGCCTTTGTGGTCAACCAATTCAGAAGAGGGATGATTAGACCCATTTTCATTTCAATCATCATCTCACGTGTCTGATAGATCAAGCAGTTTGCAGCCAGTGGAATCACAGTGAGCTCATTCATTCACATTTTACTTATCAGGCACACCTTCCTCCATACCATAGGCAGGAGTGGCAACCCCTTGTCTAACTGGGGAACTAGCACAGGCCAGAATATCACTCATGCAGGGAAAGGTGTCAGCAAAATTGTATAGGGTCTAGTGACATGTTCTGATGTCTAGGTCACCGAGCCTCTCTGAAGGAGTCTCAGTAAATGGAAATAGCAGCAAGCAACTCTTCCTGTTGCTTTTGATTCTCAGGACTGAGAGTAAACACACACAGCAAATCCTTGGGTATAAGACCCAGCCCTGTGGCCTCCTTTATGGTGTATTAATGATAAATGAACACTGGAATAAGGATTATTTAGGGGTGAAAAAAGGATTCTGATAGAAATGAGACCAGAGGTTCTTGATGCATCTGTGAAGAGTATGGTCTGAATCCCCTAACTCACACTTGCACAGAAAGCACATGCAATTTATATTTGCATACTATTGGCTTAATTTCACGGTCAGTATACATTCGACTCTCTAAAAGTGAGTACATTCATTAGCATTTTACAAAACTCAGAATATTACCAAGTATTTTTTTTTCCTCTCTAGTTCAGACACAAAATGCCAGGTTGTGTTTTAGGTGATGGCAAATTTTGGTTTGAGGTCATAAAAATTGTAGTTTCATGTCCTCATCCATCTCTTTGCAAATGCAAGACAAAGCAGATTTTTATAATACTTTAATAACTTGCACAACAACTGTGGTTTTGGCATATCAAAAGTGGAATTCTCTTAAATTATAAAGGATTTTGTATGCTTGAAATCCTAGAAAAGAAAGAAAAGCCCAGTTTAAATATACTTATTTATATAAATCTAAACCTTAAGAATATCAGACTATAAGATTCTTAGCAATACAATTGGCATATATGTAATTAAATCTAATTTTATAGGCAATCAAATAAGCACTAAAGGCCAAGAAACTTGGGACTATCTGGAGAATAAAGAAGTAGGAAGTCAGAGTAAGAGGTTCCAGCTTGTGGGAATACAATACGGGCACTGTTGCTACGCATTCCACAGCACACAGGGCAACAAAGAATACTGTAGCCCACCGCTGTCAGGTTGAGAAACCTGCTATAGAACAGAAATACATTGGATTCTTTAGTGCCGAGCTGATGAGGGCAACTTGGAGGAAGGCCAAAAAGGGAAAGTATCTTTTTTCTGTTTTGTTCACACAGTGCCTTTCTGTTTGACAGGATGGGATTATTTTATTCTAGTCTTACAGACTTTCTACCCATAAATTATAGAAGTATGAAGTAATACTTGTCCCCCAATTAAAGAATACTATGTCCAGTGTAGCAAACTGCAGAATGTGGTAATATGTGAAAAATTCTGGAGTAGGTGAGATTTTTTTAATTTACAAAAGAAAAAAAAAAAACTTCTATGGAGTATTAAATGGATGTTAAATACTGGTGTATATTAGCATCACTTATATGTCTAAAATACAGATGCCCGAGCTCTGCTGCAATGAATCTGGGAATCTCTTCCCTAGAGTACTAAGGAGCTCCGGGAATCCTCATTTCCTTTCCCAGAAAAGAGTTTAAGCTTCTCAGAATGTTGGATGCATCTCTTTGTTATACTTCTAGAAAGTACTCCAGAAGGTTCTATCCAAAAGAACTACAAAATCTAAGCCATGACGTTATTTGTGACTTCAGTATAGTATTTACAAATATCAAAGTCCATAAAAGCCCGAATGATGTTCTCTAAACCATCCAAGCTAGACGACGGGTGTCTTTTAAGGATTTAGGAAATGCTCTTTTTCAGCAGCAGCAGCAGTAGAGGATATTTTATATACCTAACATTTCCAAGTGCTTAGAATAACCAATGGCAAGTCCTAGAACCCAGCTGTGCTGGTCGCCATCTCCGTGGTCAGGCTGCCAAGAAGCAAGATACCTACCTGGCTTCCCACTACCATGTTACCCTGCAAGAACTTGGGTCTGTTTCCTCATCTATCAAGGACTGGCTGAAAATGCCAGACCTTGTTAAATGGCTGAGGTAGGTTCATAATCAATACCCCTGAAAATATTATATGATAAAAGTCACTTCCTATAATTTCTCTACACATGCCAACCACCCTTATCATGCCAACCCAGATAGGGAAAGGAAGCTACTATGTCTTTAGGTCTTTTACAATACTAGAGGTAGGCACTGATCCAACATGTATCAGAAGTGAGGGATGATGTACATGCAGCTGCTGCTTTTCCCCACCTTATCCCCTCAATACATCCATTCCAGAAACACGCTTTAAAAGTACTCACATTTTCACTCATTGTGGTGGCTTTAGATGCAGAACTACCTTTCCTGTTTGTAGAATATAAAGACAGTATTTACTACATTGTCACCTCAAATTCTGACACCCACCCTCATTCAGCAGGAATAGCTTAGCTAGGCAGGAAAAGACAATACCCAGACTGCAATCCTTACATTTTCAGTATCTAGAGAAAACCCATGTAACAAAGTATAAGTTTGCATGAAACCCTGTGTATCAAATGTAGCCTAAGGCTAATATGATAAAAATTTTTGTGGAATACACAAACTAGAGACTTACTTTCAATTTAACACATTAATATTAAATATTTTTTAAATTTGCTTATTATAATATGAAAATTCAATTTTGTCCATGTTTTATATGATGACTGAGGTTCAAGTAGAAGTTCAATAAAATTTGAATACAGATTTCATGAATGGAAATAAAATATAAAGAAGGGGAGATGCTCCTTCCCAAGTTTAAAGACTCCTATCTGATTTGATAGCAGCATTAAAGTATATACCTCTTTCACTGCTTATGTAACATACCTCTTCTCTGCTCAAAATCCTCCAGTTACTTTCCATTTTAATAAAAGGAAGTGCTCACAGTTGCCTGGGTGGGATGGAATACTGGCTACACATTCAGGATGCCTTGCTTTTCGGAACTTGCCCCCTTTGCAACTGCTAGTCCTGATACCTCAGATTTTGTCCTGTATTTGTATTGGGACATCATGAAATTGAGAGGTCAAGATTGAGACAGACATCTGGGAACAGGAAGTCAATTGCAGCAGTCTTCAAAGGATTTAAGAGATGGCAGAGTTTCTGAAGCTATAACATCTTCAGAAGGGAAAGGGGAAGGACTGAATAGGGTCTGCCATTTCCACATGTACAGGAAAGTCAGTCACAAATGCAGCACACAAAACTGGGACTTTGGTGATCTTATCCATATTTCATATGCCAATTAACTTCTGACATTATTAAGAATTAAGGGATTCCCCAAACTCAAGATTCATATATCTGTTGCTGCTCTTTCTACTTTAGAGGCTAATAAGATCACTGAATAGTGGACCTCTCCACAGAACCCTATCCCTGCTCCTAAGTCATACCTCCTGAAATATTCCACATCCATAAATAGTGACATCCTTCCTGTAACCTTGAAGCCACTTCCCACTTTTTCAAACAGCCCAAATTCAGAAGATCTCTAAACTGCTGAGGACACACCACATCCTCTCAGCTCTCAAGCCCCTACTGCCCCCCATGTCAGTCCCAGTCTCCATGTTCTCTTGTCTGTTAATGCAGTTTTCTAACTGCCCTGCCTGCTTCAACTCTGTTAAAGATAAACCAGGGTGAGCTTTAAAGACTTAAGAAAGATTTAAAAAAGACAAAAAGCTGCTTACTGGCCTTCAAGGGCTTCCTATCTTACTTAGAACCAAAGCCAAACTCCTCTGGATCCTCAAAACTGCTTAGTATGGTATGTATGACTCTCTCCTTGGGAGAGTAGAGTCGAATGTATCCATACAATCTGGCCACTCTTTCTGAACATTCATCGCCTCTCATTCCCACACTGCTGTAGGCACAGTGGTCATCTTCATGTCCTCAGACACCCCAAGTATCCTGACTGTTTCTCTCCCCTCTGTAGTAATGCCCTTATGGGTATCTGCTTGGCTTGCTTCCTCATTTCAGATCTGCCTCAAACATCGCCTGCTGCCCTTCTGTTTAGAAAGCTGATCTCCACTCCTACTCTATTCTTCACTGTCTCACTGGTGCTGCTTTCCTCCATAGTTTGCTCAAACCAACATGCTGTAGTGTACAGGTTTAGCTATTTCCTACCTTTCTGCCACTGCAGTGTAAGCTATATGGTTCAGTATTTTGTGTGGGTTTGGGCCATTTTTTTTTTTCACTGATATATTGCCAGTGCCTAGAACTGTGTTGGACACAAAACCAACATTCAATTAAATGTGAAAGTCACTAAGTTTATTTTAAAATTTTCAGTTTAGCAAAATACTTTTTTAAGTTATTCTCCAAAAATGCCTAGAAGTCAAATTAGAGACCATGTTTCTTCTCTAGGTAATTGTCATTTGTCATTTACAAGTAGGCTCAATTGGGGCTGGAGAGATGGCTTAGCAGTTAAGAGCATTGACTTCTCTTGCAGAGGACCTGGGTTCCTACATGGTGGCTAACAACCATCCGTAACTCCAGTTCCAGGGGATCTGATGTCTCCTTCTAACCTCCATGGGCATTGCACAACATGGATGCACTTACATGCAGGCAATACAGTCATACACATTACATTTTTTAAAAAATTAAACAAGTAGGCTCAATTGAGGTAGGATGTATTTCTTGATGAATTTGAGTAAGGTCTCATAAGATTATTCTGCATAAATAAACTACTTTTGAATTTAAGCATGATTAAAGAATAGTAGATGATAGAAGAAAAAACATGCATTTTAAGACATGCATACTTACTGGAAGGAAGTTTCTTCTACAAAAGAATAAATACATATCATTAATGAAAGAATTAATAGGAGAGATTCATCTAAATATGTTTGGCTTGATTTCTTTTTCATTTTGTGTCTCACCTGTAACATCTGTAAATCAAGGACCAATGAAAACTTTTTCTATAAAAGTTCATACATACAGTAAATATTTTAGGTTTTGGGGGCCCAGAGGCAAAAATCAAGGATACTATGAAGTTAGATAACCAAGAAGAAAGCAAATTTCCAAACTTTCATCACAAGAATTTAAAATATATTAAGGTCTTATCAGCCTATTAGAAAAATGGAATTCTTTGGGGATGGGCCGAACATATCTTTGAATTATGGTTCAAAAATATTGTTACCTGTTATTAAATAATAGCAATTTTTTACCTGTAAAAAATGTCTTAGTTTTTAGACTATAGAGAGTCAGGAGCCTGTAATCCCAGCTACTTCGGAGGCCAAGGTAGGAAGATCACAAGTTCAAGGCCAGCCTGGGCAACTTAGTGAGACCCTGTCTCAAAAAAGAAGACTGGTCATGCTGCTCAGTCTAGGATATTCAAGGTCTGAGATCCAATCCCCAGTACTAAAACAGAACAGAAGAAAGAGAAAACCAGGTACAAACAGGACTGGGTACAGAGGTCATAGTTTGCCAGTGCTTATCCTAAAAAACTCAAAAAGATGGTTCTCTTGGACAGGTTTAATGCCAGATGAAAATGGAAATAATATTCTTAGTAAATGAACTCCTAGTACCCAAGTCAGCTTTTTAATTCAGTATTTTAAGAAAAATACATTTACTGATGCCTCATTTAAAAATACTCAAGTATTCTAAAATAGGTAAAATGATACAAATTTTGAATTTTAAGTCTGTACTTTCAGTGTTGACCAGCAGGGGGACACAGCTAGATTCC